CATTAGCACCTCTAGTAATATATTTACTGAGAAAAATGTTGACGTGTTCAATACTTATTTTACCCGCTGTACCTCATAATCAGTAGGTACTGGTTACATAACTAGTAATCAACAGGTACCGGGTACATGACAAACCTATCATTAACTTAGCTAAATGTATCCGAAAGCTGCATAGACTCTAATGGTGTCAAAAGAGGGCTAAAAGCTAACAGAGGCTTGTTGAAAGTAGCAGAACAGTAGCTTAAAGCTAAAAGTTTCATAAAGAGACAAAYGGGTAAGTACACTGAAGCAGATTTTTAAAGAGATTGAAGTGATTTCAATGGGGGAAATATTTGTAAATAAAGGTAATATACTGAAAAGTATAAAAATTACAAAAACCAAACAGTGCWGCACCAAACACCTGTAAGAGCTGAAAGTTTTGATATAAAAGCTCAATTTTGACTTAAATAAAGGCAAAACTAATGCTGATTCAGCATTCACACAATCATTTTTGGTGGGGTTTTACTGCCTTTTTTTTTATCAAAGACCCTGATGGTTGAAACAATGAGCTCTTTTTCTGCAGCACCTCAGACCTTTAAATTCAAATGGCAGCCAACCATCCATGGAGAGCTGAGGGAGCAACACCTTCTGCGCTCCAAACAGCGGGGCTCTGAGACTGAGGAGGAGCTTCAGGGGTCCAGCAGCCGGTTAGAAACCACCTACCCCAAAGTGAGAGTCTGTCAGTGTCATAAAAACAAATAACTGGTTCAAATCTTTGTTGGATTTGTTGCAAAGCAGACATYTGCTCCCTGAAGCGGCAGCGTGACGCAGACCTTCCCGTCCTCTCCTGCGCGTCCTTTCCTGATGGATCTTTGGACTTTTTTTCTGCCTGTGTGTGAAAAACTGGAAGCCTGAAGTGGGACGGACGAACAGKGGGAGACTCTGGCTCCATTTACGTCCTCCACTTTTAATGAGCCCAGCGATCAGACACGCGTAAAGCTCCAGGTGGACCCGGAGCCTGCGYCCGCACCGCTCCAAACGTCTCCACGGCGCGGAGGAATTAAAGACAGATTGCGCGCGGAATTACCTCTTTTATTTATTTTTTTATTTTTTAACGGATTCCATCAGCAGCAGCTCAGGTAGGTGCACAGAGTTTAAAGCTGAGAACCTCCTGCATGGCAGCTTCAGGTTTCAACAGAAGGTTTTTGTTTCTTGAGTCATTGATCAACTCGTCAAATGACGCACGGTTGCGCGTAATTGCGCTTTAATTTTTAAAAGATGATCACCCCAGGAGCTCTGATTAGCACCACAGGAGGGGTTTGCATTTCTTTGTAACTATTTATTTCATTAYATATTACAGTTTGTTTCATCTCATTTTGAAATGTTAAATCTGAGTGAACATGATTTCAGATTTTATCACGAAAACATTCAATCCTGGCTCCTAAAATTGGATTTACACTGAGTAAATAAATTTTAAATGACAGAGTTTTATACAGAATGTGTCAAACTGAAGGCTCACGGGCCAGATTGTCCCTTTTTACAGATTTGTTGGTCTGTGAGGTAATATTTTAAACATCTTAGAACAATTTTGTTTGTGCCGCCTCTTATTGTGCTAACAAACTGAGCCTATTTAGTACAGGCTGCATTTTTAAAGTTAAAAACTTCTAGTAATCAGTTTGATTTTAATGAGGAAAGAGAAACTGCTTCAAATAAACTCTTGCAGATGAGCCTTAAAATGACTGGATCAGCGTAAAATAAAAGTGTTTAAATTAAAAACAAATGTTGGCATAAGATTAAAGGTTTTATTTAAATAGTTTCTGTTCTAAATTCTGTTTCAGGGAATGGTTTTTTATAGTTGAATCATTTGACACATGGTTAATTCAAAATAAAAGTTCAAACTCTCCCCGTAGAGTTCGACACCTCGGCCTTTATTTTGAAATGATTTGCTGCACCAGAGGAAAGTTCTTCAGCGTTTAATGCAAGTTTTTGCAAATCCAGTTTGACGTGTCTTTGTGTCTTCCTCCCAACTTTTCAAAGAGTCSGACTGGAAGCGCAGGTGGTCTCCATGTCCAGCAGCAGGCTGCAGGCTGGGGCTTGAGTCAAGAATTAAAGTGATTCAGCTCRATAAACAAACAGAGCATCAGCAGCTGACCCTGCAGAGACATGTTGGGYTCTGATCTGTAACTTTTGGCAACATGCTCTCAGCTCTGACACCTGTGAACGGAGAGGATTACACTCCCTGTGAGAAACTAAAGCTCTCAGCTGGAAACACCTCCGTTTTTTACTCCTGCTGTTTTTGCACCATGCTGCTGTAAAAAAAGGGAGGATGTAAGAAAAACAGCTCCTCTGATGAAGTGCGTGTGGTCCCGTTGTGTGTTTGGAATACCCACACAGCCTCTCATCCTGTTTGCATTGTAGCCTCTGCACACCTTTAACACACCTGTCAGGTATGAGKTTTTTCCTCCGCATTATCAGATTTATGGCAGATTACCGGAAAGTTTGCCCGCAGGAGCTGAAAGTGTGCATTTCTCATGCAGAAACCAATGAACTGGTTTTGTTTCTGCAGCGTTTATAAGGTTGTGTTGCGCACATAATCCACATTATAGCTGCAATAATTTCCTGTGCACGTTAATTCCCCAAACTATGCGACTTGTCTGGGCTTATTTTGCTTCGTAAAACATGAKCGGGGGCCAAAGCACCAAACCTAATTGCAGATTTTGGTTTCTTAATTGAGTTTATGAGGTTGTGTGTCTGTTCTTCACTGTGCAGGAAGCTCCCAAAGACATAATTTGCTCAGAGAACACAAATTAGAAGGAATCAAATGATTGTTATTTTCTAACGATGATGTCATGCAGCTCTGCAGAGGAGTGGCAGTCATCAGTGTTACCTGAATGTGACTTTGGAGCTTCCTGTCCAACAGCTGATCTCTCAGAGGTGCGGGTTCTGGTCTCCCATCCCCTGTAGATGCGTTCCAGCTTGCACGCCGTCCACGTTCCCTCCTCCTCCTGCAAAAACAAATTGTAGTTCTCGCAACTTGTCATGTCTGCCTACCTGTCAGAGCTCAGCAGGCTGGAAAAACCACGTCAGCGCTGACAGATGCAGTGGGGAAAGYCCTGCTACTGTTTTCACAGTTCATCCTGCAAACTGTTTCATTAGTTGTACTTTAATGTGAATATCACAGTTTGTGGAGGTTGGACTCTGGACTGCACGAGGAGCTTGAAAAAGATGCAAAATGAAACCTTTCTCTGTCATAATTAAAACTTTTCTCATGTTGTTACCACCAGTGCTGTGATCAGGCTCTAATTTTACATCGCCCACTTCTGCTCTAACTCTAACTATGATTTGTTTTTTTGTTTTGTTTTTTCATTCTCAGTCTGAATGACAGAGTCATTCTCTTTGCCCTAAACCAAAATAAATTTCAAAGTAAAACCCGGCTTGATGTGGTCGTCGCCCTAAAACAAAGAACCCATCAGACTGGGAGCAGTTTTCCATTCTTTACACGTTAGATTACGTCTCTGCTCTTTAATAAGTCTGACTGTGCTGATTTTGAGTGGGCCGGCTTCTTTATACAGTTTTGTTTCAGAGGCCAGATGTTTTAAATTGGCTAAAATTGTGTCTTTATCTGGAATCTTTGAAGTCTGACAGCACGGTGGGTAATGTAAAGACACAGTGTGGCCTTCAGGTCCAGAGCAGCCCTGGATTCAAAAAGGGCTCGAAACTAAAAGAGTTTGACTCCATGTTGGTCCATGWGGTGAAGCTGCTTGTTTTGAGTTATTAGGAAGCAGGGAAATGGTTTAAAATAAAAGATAAAGCCTGTTCTGTTTCTTGTTTCTGTCAGGTTGAACCGTTTTACAAGAACATCTGGCTGAGCTTTAGGATCTGAACATCATCCATCATGATCAAACCGACAGTTAATGTCATCGTTYTTGGTGAGAAAACAGTTTTTTCTGCGGAAGTCCATTACTGTCATTTTTAGTAAAAAAAATCATATTTATGAGATACTATCTCACATTAATGATTCAGCATTCCCTAATCTGATTTAGTGTCTAAAGGTTATGGTTCTGCACCTCACAAATCTGACAGTATAATAAATTTATGACTCAACATCTTATACATCTGACTCAGTGTCTCATAAGTTTGACTTAATATCTCAAATTCTAACTCAGCATTTCATAAATTTGACATAAAATAAAAAAATGACTCAGCATCTCAGAAGTATTACAAAGTATCTCAGAATCTGACTCAGCATCTTATATGTCTGACTTTGTATCCAAGAAATAAGTCTGACTCACCATCTCATAATTCTGACTTAGTATCTCAAAATTATGACTCAGCATATCATGAATCTGGTTTAGTATCTCATAAGTCTGACTTAATATCACAAACTATGACTCAACATCTCATAAGTCTGACTTAGCATCTCATATGTCTGACTTAATATCTCAAACTATGACTCAGTATTGCATAAGTCTGGCTTAATATCTCAAACTATGACTCCGCATCTCATAATTCTGACTTAGTATCTCAAAATAATGACTCAGCATATCATAAACCTGACTTAGTATCTCATAAGTCTGACTTAATATCTCAAACTATGACACAGCATCTTATAATTCTGACTTAGTATCTTAAATTAAGACTTATTATTTTGAATGTATGACTCAGCATGTCTTAATTATGAGATGTTATGTCAAAATTAAATCGTATTTTTTCATTTTGACATAGTATGTTATAATTCTGACTTAGCAGATTTTTTATTTCCTTCCATGTAGCAGAAATGGTCTTCCATACTTAACTAATATCCAGTCCTATAATCTGTTTGCTGTTCATTTACACCCCATGATTGTGTCTTTGTGTGTAGTGAAAAAAAAACACAGTAATGATTGTGTTTCTTTGTCTACTGAAACATGACRTGCCCTCTGCTTCACCCTCAGCGTTCCTCTTGTTCTGGGCGTGCTGGGCCAAGCCTAACGGATCAAAGAACAAGAAACCAAAGCAAGGTAGACCTGATCCCCATGCTGTAAACCCCATCAGCTACAGTCAGCTCATTGTTTACACCACCTTTCAGTTCATTTACTGTGCTTGGCAGGAAAAGGAATGTTTTCACTCTCAGCTCATTTTTCAACACGTTAAGTTTTAATGTGATCATAGCTGGAAGTGTCCAGTTTTCACCTGTTTGTCTCTAACGATCCTCCTCTTCCACCTACAGTTGTACCAGACATCGAGTGCGATGTGAGAGCAGGTAAGATTAACCTCCCTGAGTTTATCGCCCGATGTCCGGCGCAGTGCAGGGAAAGCAGGCAGCAGGTCTACGGGACCGGCGTGTTCGCCTCCATCTCCAGCATCTGCAACGCAGCCATCCACAGGTGTGACGACCCAAACTAAAAAAAAAAAATCACCAAATCTGTCTTGTGACACCGTTATTTAATTCCACTAACCTGTCGTCCCCACAGTGGAGTCATCACAAACTCAGGAGGGAAGGTGATCGTGAGGAAGATGGCCGGGCAGAACGTCTACAAAGGAAGCAACTCCCACGGCGTGCGGTCGCTGTCCCTGCCAAAGTGGAGGGAGTCGTTTGTCGTCTCAGGTAACGAGGACAAAGTGAACGCCATCATTTAAAAAACAAAAACAAAAACAACAAGATTTAACTCTGTGGTGTTTCAGTGGGGAAACCAAAGAAAGGAGTCATCTACCCATCGACTCTGGACTACGTCCCRTCAAGACCGACCTACGTCAAAACCAGTAAGAGTCGAGTTCAACACAAATATGTTTGTTTGGTTGTTTAGACGAGTGGTTCCCAAACTGTTTCCTCAAAGCCCCCCAAACCAAGCCGAGTCCACCGCCCCCCAATCCCTTGCTACTCCCCACCTCTTCCAAAGATGCATTCAACAAATCTCTATCAAAATAATAACATAATAAAGAGAACAGTTACAAGCTTTTAGTTTGAAAAGGGAGAAAATTTCAAATTGACTTCTTTTGGTGATTTTTTTTAAATGAAAACAATAAATCAAAATTTTCACAAGCTCTGAGCAAATGTGGTTATGTGCCCCCCTTGTGCTCTATAGCGCCTCTTCAGGGGGGGYTTGACCCCCTCAGGTTGGAAACCACTGGTTTAAACTTGAAGTTAGGTCTTTTTAACTCCACATGTCTTCAACTACGTCGTTTTTATGACTGTCTGATAGAGGTGTAAATCAGAAGCTTTATCACGATACGATGATTTTGTATATTGGTGATGCTTTCTTTTACGGTACCATTATTACCATGTAATTACATGGTAATTAGGGTACAAAAGAAAAACCTGTTAGTAAAACTACCTTTATTGGGTAACTACAATAAAATCACTATTCAACAGTAACTCAACACATTTATAACCAAAAGAATGCAACTAAATGTTGGGGTTAGTGGTTAATTGCAATAAGATATAACTTTAAAACTGTCTAAATTACCTACTACTTATTTAGGTGTTACTTAGTGAATTGTAATACATTACCAGGTAAGTGCTACATTACTGCAGACAATTACATAGTAAAATTTTACCCCAATTACCACGTAATTACATGTAAAAAAGGTAGTAATTACCATTTAATTACATTTTTTCATTACCTTGTAATTACATGGTAATAAGGGTACCATAATAGAAAGCGTTAGCGATATTTCGATTTGTTAGGATGACAATACGATGTTTCTCAATATCACAAAGTCTGTCAGGATACAATTAAATTTTGTTCAGCTCAAAAATCTGSGAAATGATGCGATACACAATTATTGTGTTAGATGGATCAATGTTTTCATTTTGCTTTGATGTAATCAAACCATTAATCGTTTAATCGATATATCGATGTGAAGCGATGTGTCGTTACACCTCTACTGTCCAAGGCTTACTTTTAAGGCTGTGTTCCTGTCTGGCTCATTTTGACACAGGTGTGTGGATATCATGGTGACTCTAATAGGATTCTGTATGGATCTGATGATGATTCTTATAGTTTTAAATAAAATGTTTAACTATAAATATCCAAGTATAGCTGTCAGGAGCTTGAGATGATCTAAATTCGGCTTTAAAAAGCTTCACTTTTTTTTTAAATCTGCTTGTCATCACTTTAAAAACATTCTGGGGACTAAGGGGATCACTGAGCAAATATCCCCGGCGCTCGTTGAAGTTTTGCTAAGAACGACCGGAATGCTTCGTGGCACAGAGGTTACTGTGGAGCCATCCCCCCTCCCCGCGTCATGACCCGCTTTCATCTCTCATCTCCCTCCAGGTCAGAAGGAGGCCACCACCACGCYGCTACCCACGACAACGCCCGAACCCACCACCACAACTCCCAAACCCACCACCACCACACAAACCACCACTACACCCCCAACGACAACGACCACCACCACCACCGCCAAGGCCCGAGCTGCTGCCCACAAACCCAGAGATGCAGGTGAGCGCACCTCCAACACATCAAATCATCTCCACATTAGCAGCTGGGAATTAGAGCCTGCCGGAACAAGCTGTCTCATGTAGCACTGATTGACTGCAGCAGGTAATTACCTACAGTTACAAATACGTTTATGAGCAATTACAGCCTGTCTGTGAAGAACTTAATACAGTTCCGCTCAGATGCTCGACTGCCTCTGTGAGCAGATGAACAAAGCTTTCATCGCTGATTAAATGAAAACACCAATCAGACAGTGATCGCTGTGAGTCTGAATCAGGGTTTTTTGTTTTTTTGGCCCAACTGCAGCAGTGGTGAGTAGACAGCGTTCTTATCTTGAAGGTATGCGTTCAGATGAGATGGGCGCCGAGCCAAATAACCTCCCGAGCGTTTCTCTCCCTTTCATTTTCTGTAACATTATCTGGCTTGTCTTCATGCCGGCACCCCTCCATCTGTCTTCCTTCCATCCAGGCAGCAGTCACCCGTACCTCGCCCATGTGGCCGCCTCAAGTTCAAGTAAGTGAAGCAAAAATGAAAGCTAATTTAATCGTTTATTTATTTTTTCGTCTGAGGTTGAAAGGTTGAGATTGCATGAGTTCACCAACCATGTTACAGTATGTGCATCAAGATACTACATGTGTTTTGTTTCAAAAGTCTGTTTTAAAGGCCGGTTAGTCGGCCCCCAAAATCTGAAGAAGTTTGGACAGTTTGTAAAATAAAAATTAAAAACTGAATGCAATGACAGTTTTATAGATATTATTTACAGTGGAATGCAGTAAACATTTCTACTGTTGAAACAAACAAATTTTGAATTTTACAGCAGCAGGCACCAAAACTCTAAATTGATCACAGGTGGTTGTTTGACTCATTTCTCTCTATGTGTCCCTGATGGACTTCCTGTCCAGGGTGTCCCCACCTCTCACAGTTACTGCTGGAGGTAAGTACCAGTTCTGTGGGACACAAAAAAGAGACGTGTGTAAACAACAAGGATGGATGGATGGATGATAGATAGATAGATGAGTAGATTGATTGATGAATGGATGGATGGATGGATGGATGGATGGGTGGATGGATGGATGGTTAGATGGATGGATGGATGGATGGATGATGGATGGTTAGATGGATGGATGGATGGATGGATGGGTGGATGGATGATGGATGGTTAGATGGATGGGTGGATGGATGGATGGATTGATGTTAGATGGATGGATGGATGGATGGATGGTTAGATGGATGGGTGGATGGATGATGGATGGTTAGATGGATGGGTGGATGGATGGATAGATGGTAGATTGATTGATGGATGGATAGATAGATTAATGGATGGATGATGGATGGATGGATAGATAGTTAAATGGATGGATGGATGGATCAACAGATGAATGGATGGATGGATAGATAGATTAATAGATGGATGGATGGATGGATGGATTGATTGATTAATGGATGAATTGATTGATTAATGGATGGATCAACAAATGAATGGATGGATGGATGGATGGATTGAATGATTAATGGATAGATTGATTGATTAATAGATGGATCAACAGATGGATGGATGGATGGATGGATGGATGGATGGATTGATTGATTAATGGATAGATTGATTGATTAATGGATGGATCAACAGATGAATGGATGGATGGATGGATGGACAAAAACAACCTTTAAAGAAGCAGTGCTTCTGTTCCCTCTGGATGATTGTGAACAACTTTTCTGAGACGTGTTGCTGCCATCAAATCCTAAAAACTCTATTCTTATGTAGAATTATACGTTTCTACATTAGAAATGTTAATTTTTCATTGTGAATAAAACATGGGTTCATGAGATTCAAATCATTGCATTCTGTTTTTAATCATATTTGACAAATTGTAGTATTAGTCACAGTTTCACGTCTACATTTTTGTCTAAATTCACCCCAAATTGTGTGGTTGGTGCAGGACAGTTACAGAACAGCCAAGGGAAGAGTCCCAGCCAAGGTAAAGTATTTTAATCCTGTTTGTGAAGATTTATCTAACTGTTTTTAGTAAAACTAAACAAACACATTTCTTCAGCGTTCAGAGGAAGTCCTTACCCAAACAGATACCCCCAACGAGCCAGCCCAGGTAAATCTTTGTTTTTTCTCTTATGCTGATGATGTTTTGTTCTGACGTGGATGAACTCTGCATGRCAGCTCTGTTCTGCACGGCTGCTTGGCTTTTAGAAATATGTTCCTCAGCCCAAAATACCAAACCAGTCGTCACAAACCAGGAGATCAAAAGGTTTCAGAGCTTAAATCAAGCTATTTCCACTAAAATAAAGCCAATTCTTTATGTTTTACATTGAGATTATTTCTGTTTTAACATGTTAGGAAATTCAAATTATATCTAAATAGCATTTAACATTCATTAAGTAATAATTTGCTGATGAGTGATTCATACCGTCAGTGAGCTGTGGTGGTTGAGAAGATGCTGCTGCAGGCAGTAAGCCCAAGGTTCAAAAATCCCCCGCAGGACAGAAAAACAGAAGTAATTGGGCTTGATTAACAGGGCGTGACATGTTGAGAACAAAAACACGACAAATGATGACGAGCAGGTGGAGAACAAAGGGGTCGGGTGGGGTTTATTTAAAGGAAGCTAATGGCAAACGACAGGTGCGCGTGGTGAAGCAGACAGCAGATGCTAACATCATAACCAGGGAGTAAAGACAAGACTCATTGAAGGACTGCATATCAACCGCTGCCTTCAAGTTTTTAACTAAGATAWTTTTTTACGATAAACAACGAAGTGCCGTACCTTCCCGTCACATCTTAAAAGATCCATTAGCTTTTTTATTATACATTGTAAATAACTCTCAGCTACTACCTCACCAAATTTTAGCTTAACGACTTTAAAGAGGAACTTACCCCAAAATTAACATTTTTTAGCCAATWAACTGTCTAGAATGTGTCTAAAATGTTATACAGTACTATTTCTGCGCTAAATTTGAAGTTTTTGTTCGTATTTGTTCAAATCTGCAATATTTGGTCTAAAAACGTATTTTTGCTGCATTCTATGGGTTGAGCAGCGGTACTGCAGTCTAATTTTCATATTGGTTAACCTCCAGTTTGTGGTTATTTCCTGCCAATTCATAGCCTGASCTGGGAATTTTTATTCGCATAATAGGCTGTTTAAACAATTTGATTGGTTGTATTCTTTCAACTGACATCTCTTTTGACCAACTGGGCTCATCTATAGACTCTCCAGAGCCCCTTATGTCCCACCCGTATGTGGTAGACGTAAATGATTGACTAGAATCAGCCAATCAAGCTATGAAAATGGTGGAATGACCCCTCCGGGTCAGGGGGGAGTTTTTGTCTGAAGTGGAGGACTGGGCGTCTTGTTGCAATGGCAGTGTAAGAAAATTTAGTGTTCGTTAACTGAAATCGAGACGAAACCACATAAATGTTGAATGGATTAAAATGTGAAGAGAATGGACCATACAACACCAGTTACTGGAGTGAACGCCGGTTTATTGCTGTCTGTGCAAGCAGGAAACCAACGCTGGCAAGAAACCAGAAGTCCCGGCTATAAGTACGTACATGGTCTTCAGTGCCTGGTACGCCCACTACTGGCCAATGGCTGAATCGCAGACACTCAGACAAAAAAAACCTGTACTTATGTTTGATTAATGGTTCTTTATGTGTTGTGATGGTGTTTTGGGCATGTATCTAAACTATTTTATTCAAGACATAACAATTGCCAAACAATGGATTATAAAAGTCAATAGTAAAAAAGGAAAACTACGGAAATGGTGTAATGCTTTTAAAATCAGTATCTAACATGATGACTAATACATTTCTTCAGCAGGATGTTTACTGTTTGACCTTATTAAGACTTTTTAAGATTCAACGCTAYGACAAAGGCAATAAAAGTACGTAGGATTTGTCCTGATATCGTATTGGGTTGATATCGTATCGGCCAATACTCAAGGCAGCATTATCGGTATCGTATCGGAAGTGAAAAAGCTGCATCGGGACACACGTAGAAAGTGTCTGGGTTTTTCTCCTGGACCTGTTGCCTCRGCTTTAACCACTTTAGTGTAGGCTAAGGTTGATTAACTGTGGTGGCCATTAGGGCTGTGTATTGGCAAGAATTTGGCGACACAATACATATCATGACAGAGGGGTCACGATACGATATATCCCGATATATTGCAATACTATAAGCAAGGCGATATATTGCGAATTTTTTGTCCAAAAATTCTAAATAAAAACCTCTTACAGGGGRAAAAAATGAAAAACCAAAATTCATTGTCTCAGAAAATTCTAATATTACATAGACATACTTTTGATACATTTAGCTGTGTTCTGCTTTGTATGCATTTTATTTTATTTGTTTCATATTTCTTATTTCATCCATGTTTTCAATTATTAGACTAAATTTGACAATAAATAGTTTGAACATAAATTTTTTGCAGCTTTTGGTTTTTAATATTAATTTACAATATGGTCACCCAACACTTAATGGCCTCTACCTCAAGAGGTAGAGTAGCCAAATGGCTGGCTCACTGCTGCCAGCTAATGGTCAGAGGCTGAACTACAACATAAAAATGARCRGCTGGCAGGAAAGTTGACATTTTAAACCTTAATAAAAAAAATCGATWCAGGGCTTTAGAATATCGATACAGTATYGGGAAATGAAATATCGCGATATTTCAGTGTATCGATAATTTCTTACACCCCTAGCGGCCATCTTGAATTGGATTGACTCTAAAATGTAATCAGTTGTAGACGTTCTGCCAAGGGTTTTACCTAATTCTGTCCATTGGTTCATGAGATATTCTGCTGACAGGGACAGACGTGACAGTAATAGTTATTTATGGTAAATGTTGGGTGATTTKCATTCCAGTGGCAATAAATAAAATTATTAATTTTGCAATATGTTTTCCAAACGTGTAGTTATAGGTGTGCGCAGAACGGAGGCGGGGTCGTCCATCAGGAGGCAGCCTTCCTCTCCAGTCGGTCCAGGTCAGCCTCCTCATTAACACCCACAAACACAGTTAAAACCAGGTAACAGATGTCTGCTGACCCCGGTCCTCACATTTCCCGGGTTCATCACTCCTCCGCAGAGAAYTGCTGTTTTCTGTCATTAGGAACTCGGTCATATTTCTATTTTACGAGATGAAAAGAGCCAAATGAAGCAGCGCTGAGGCTTGTAAACACRCCCGTCATATATCCTTTTGTTTATGATGTCATGCTGTGCAGAAAAGAAAAAAAAAGCTTTTAACTCAAAGTGAAAACAGCTGGGCTACATTTGGAAGATGGAAGCCCAGAACCTGAGCTCATCTCTGCTTTCCTTCTGTTCTTTCCCTTTTCTGCACGTTTCCCGCAGCAGCTTTTAACAGGGTTCAGCCCGTCCCRCCCGAGCGGACCCCAACTGCGAGCCAGTCCAACTCTGGTAAGTGTCCACAGACTCCGGGTGGGGAGTCCTCGGCCACGTAGACACAGGACGGGTCGGATCAAACGAGAGCCGTAAAAGCCCGGGTCACAAAGCAGCACTAATGTTTACCTTTGGTGGTATGCTGCGGTTTGAAGCCTGACCTGATCTTCTATAAACAGAGYGGAAATACAAGCAGACACTTAGATTTCACCCCACGGAACAAAAGAAAGAAACCTACTGGGTTTTCACGAGGCCATGCGACGTCGCCCGACCCGATCCGTCAGTTTTAATAGCGTCTCGTGACGGATCCCGTGTGGTTTGGGTTCATCCCCGCCTTTTTTTAAACACTTGCAGACAACACCGCAGAGATGAAAGTGGCGGTGCCAGTGCTACYGCAGAGGCCCGGTCCACGTCGCTGCAGGATCTGGGTCCACTCGTCGCGAGCAGAAAGCCCATCGAACCGGGCGAGGTGTGGCTCTCTGAGGAATGCATTTCTGTTTTTTCTTCTGAGGAATGCAAACAAAAAAAACAAGAATCCCTTAAAATTAGACAGGCCCGTGTCTGTTTAAAGGACGGCCGATTGTAGGATTTGATTTACAGAATGAGAGAGTGAGCAGACCCGTTCAGAKGAACTGTTTGTAAATGTCTTCACTGATTGCCTCGAGGTAATTCCTCCAGGAGGAAGTCAGAGATTGAAGGTCAATGTGTGCCCCTGGAGCTCTGTCTTTCGTAAACTCTCTTGAAGGGAAGGTACTTGTTGAAGTAATTGATTTACAAGTTGAAGTATTTTTTTTCAGGTCTTCCTCCGCAGTAACAACAGTGTTGCTCTGGTCTGTTGTGGTGAAGATGGAGCTGAGTTGAAAGACCAGTGAGTGTCCATTGACATTCCAACCCTCAGATGCGGTCACAAGGACCAAAGATCCTGGTTAGGAGCAGCTGAAATGACTGAGCTCAACCTTAGAGATATGAGGAGTTCCATTATTTGGAGGTTTTGGGTTTGTCCCACTGAATGGAGACCCCAAGAAGACTTCAAACTTACTGGTGACATTATGAGGATTATGTATCCTGTCTGGCCTGAGGATGTGTTGGAGGGGAACATCTGGGTGTCCTCCTTAAACCTAACTTCAGAAGAGGGGAAGGAATTAGACGAATGGAGCAGTAAACTTTAAATTCAAAAGCTCTAACACAGGATGAGAATCATAACCAGGGGCGGAGCTAGACTTTTTTTSGACGGGGTAGCACAGGGTGGCCAAGGTTTTTTATAGGGGGGCACATACAAATAAAGAAAAGCACTCTGGAAATAAAAATTCAAGATGGCAAGATGAAACTGCGTGAAAAAACACGCTAAATACTAGTCACAACTTATTATTCAGCTATTTATCGACATACAAAAGCTGAAGATTATTGTAGAAGTTAAATGCTAATCCTAAATTCAAGATGGCMACCACAGCTAACTATAAAATGCAATAATTCAACCATTTTAAGACTTACTGAGATGAAATATGTTCTGGAGTATCTAAGAATGATCACTTGCCGATAGTCGATGCTAATCCCAAATTAAGCTAACCACTAATATTAATGCTAATTTTACAAAGGGCTGTAATTCAGCAAGTTAAAAAAAATACACAGTTAAAAAAGTTATAGTAGTATCGCAGAACAATCTTTAACAAAATCTAAATGGAAAGATCCCCACCCACTTGTCATTTATACGGCCAATCARGTGCCAGAGGTTGACACTTGCCACCCCAGCCACCCCTCTGGCTCCACCCCTGATCATTACGTAATCTCTAACCTCCTGACCTCAGTCATCGCTGAAATGATTATGATCGATTCCYCTYAAAAAGCAKTGGTTCAGTCTGCCGCRCAGCRCCGAGCCTTTGACCAGCAGCAGCAGATTAGCCTTATCTCTGCGAGCTAYCTAAACTGTCCCTGGTTTGACACCAGCTTTATAAAAATACTTCCACGCTTCGGTGGGTGGCTGGCTGAGCTCTTTTAGGCCACCCCAGCCAATAGAGACCCTGCTCTTTAGCCGACCCCGTATGGGAACCTCAGAGTCGGGGTCCTGTGTTTGTGTAAGCTGCCGGTCCACCTCAGACGGGGGGTTAACTGAAGTGTGTTGTTATGGTTCAGTCGGTTGTAACAGAAGGGGGTTTCATTGTTTCGGTTTGGCACAGCTGTTTGGGCTTTAAGTGTTCAATTATACACATTCCTACTTTGTTTTTGCTTTTCTCAAAGTTGTAACTTCGCATTTTTGTGAAATGAAAAAATCAGATAAAAAAGTTTTTTTGAATAGTTTTACCTTTTTGGAGTGTTTGCTGCATTTCTGCTCTGAAAATAGAAAGAAAAAGTCAAATTTCACCAAAGCAACAATCACAAGAACGCTTTTCCTAAACGCAGCTTTCTAATCTTCTCCTGCGCAGCTTTTCCTAGAAGGGATTGGCCACCTCCTTCTTTTGCTCGTCCTGATTGGTTCCCTGG